ATTTTCCTAATGTACTTATAAGAGAGGCAATTTTCTTCTCATATATAGGTAGGTACATTTATTACTGTAAACCAAAAAAGGCTGAATAATAGATTTTACTCAAAACACCACAAAATTTCTGGAAACATACAAAAGGTACATAATATAACTTGAGAATATATCAACCCAGTTGTATTTCCTAAAGACTTGCCCATTATTAATTAAAAATAATACAACCTTAAAGCTATGTGGAACAAACAGCAATCTGCAAATGCTCTTAACATTCTAAACCTAAATGTGACTTTCCTATTCATTTTTATTACCCAGGTACAGCAGGGATAGAAAAAGACAAAAAGATCAAAAGAAAGGAACTTTAAAAGGGAGGTTAAAAGCAATCTTCCAACCAACAGATTAGGAAGCACATAATAAACACCAAATAAAATGAATAAACACAACTAATTTCATACCTTCTTTTTCCTAATCCTTCCTTGTACATATTTACATTGATCAAATCACCCCAAATCTGTAGTATATAAGACTAGAATTTTTTGCTTTATCTACTTACTGTAAGGGAATCACCAAGAAATGTGGTTTTGTGGGTTTATCTTTAGGCCAAATGAAAACAAATAGAAGAGATTACAATGATTTAGCTTTTAAGTTATTGTTTAGATGTAGCTTTGTTGTTGTTAAAAATATTTCTCACCTAACTGTTAGGTTCTAAAATTTATTCAGGGTTTTATCTTTCTAAATCTATTTAACAAAATCTCAGAAAATGAGGGGGAGGAAAAAAAAAAAAAGAAAAAAGCCCAATACAATGGCATTTGTTCATTTGGAGATATACCAATTATTTTAAAAGATTAAGCAAATGTTTGTTAATATCATCTTCTCATTTAGAATATGAGTGTTTCCTAGATCTTTTCAAGAGTTGAAATAAGTGTTCTTTTCATGTATCGTAAGAATAGTTAACTGTAGTGCCTAAGGCATTTGACTGCTAACCAGAAGGCTGGTGGTTCAAAGCCACCAGCCACTACTCGGAAGGAAGATTGGGCAATCTACTTCCATAGAGTTACTGCCTCAGAAACCTAAGGAAGGGTCGCTATGAGTCGGGATCTACTCCATGGCTTAGTTAATACTCACTTTCACTGTGAAAACTTTCCCACTCTGCACCATAGTAGATAAAACTAAGGTCTACTCAGCTAATTTTCTACCTTTATTTTCAAAACACATATCCATCACCAAGAATGTTTCCAGTTACAAAAAAAAAAAAAAAGGTTCTAACTTGTATTGCAAGCCCTCCAATTTCAACTTTTAAAATATACTAAACTATTAATTCTTCTATGATCCAAGCATATTACTTTTAAAAGACTATGAAATTAGAGATGTTGCATCCTCTACGTCACAGTTAAAGTAAAACAGGTTCCAGAGAAGTGACACTTAAATTTAATTCACTAGCATCTTGCCTCACTAATAACTTCATAAAAGTTACTATAGTAATAAACAAGTGTTAATAAATGGAACTCCTAAGAAAGTTCAACAAGATGGGTTGTGTATATTAATTTTTAAGTTACAACTATGAAATATTTACATACCATCTAGGAAATAAGTGTATTTTCCTCAGGATTGTTTTTGTGTGTGTGCTTATAAATGATTATTTTTTAGTTTATTTTATAAGCAGTTTCTGTCTAAAGGTGTGTTTTTATTCTTTTTCAATATTTATTGTTTTTCAGGTGAAAGTTTACCCAGTGAATTAGGTTCCCATGTAATGATTTTTATACAAATTGTTCTGTGTCATTGGTTACAATTTTCACAATGTGTCAGCATTCTCATTATTTCCATTCTGTTTGCTGTTTCCATACTTCTAGTTTCTCTTCTTTCGTTCTTAGCTTTGCTTTTGGGTAAATGTTAACCATTTAGTCTCATATAGTTAATTGTTCAATAGACTCATGGGTGATACTGTTTACTTTATAATCCAATCTATGGTATTTTAGGACAACAGTCTCGGGGTTTCCTCCAGTCTCTAACAGTCCACTAAAGTCTTTTTTTTTTTTAAATGAATTTCATTTCTGTTCTACGTTTTTCTCCCATTCTAAATGAGACCTTCTATTGTGTCTGTGGTCAGAACAAGTGGTAGTGTAGCCAGGTACCACCTAGTTCTTCTGGTTTCAGGTTAGAAGAAGCCTCGGTTCATATGGCTATTAGTCCTGTGGACTAGTTTCTTTAGTGTTTTTTTTTTTTCATTCCCTTTTACTCCAGATGAGTAGGAAACAAAAGTTGTATCTTAATGGTCGCTCTCAAACTTTTAAGATTCTAGGCACTACTCACCAAACTATGGTATAGAACATTTAACTTTATGAACTGTATTATGCCAACTGACTGAATTATCCCACGAGACTATGGGCTTAAGCCTTTAAAACCCAGTAAACCATTTTACAAGTTGTTTGGATATGTCCAGGAAGTCTCTGTAACTGTGTGCCCCATATGCTTTATTATATCTATTGATAAATATGCAGCACACAAAACACCTATACCTACATGTGATGCACTCACATATGCCTTCTTGTTGACATATATGCATACACTTCTACCTATGTAACCACATACATATTTTTTGGTTATTACTGTTGTTGCATCGGGATTTTTATTTAAAAGCAACATTTTTCCAAATATTAATGTGATAGAATTCCTAAAAGTAATTCAGAAAATAAAACTTTACCACTTGAGTACATTTTATTTATACTGAGGTAAAGTTCTTTATTTTTTGTATAGGGTTATGGTATATATCAACACAGGTTATTAAACCAACATTAACTGTGCATGAGAATTACTATGAATTACAAAAGTAGATCTGTTCACCATCTTCATATTTCTCTATTCCTAAATCAATCATGTATATACATTGTTTCCTAATACCTAAATAAAAAACAAGTCTTGAGTAATCCTATTTTATCTCCTATTCCTCTCAGCCAGTCTGCCCAAGTTGTGGGGGAATGAATACTGGAAAGGGATTCGAGTGACCGAGATTTCTAAATCTAGCACTGCAAAATTACATTCATTCTCTTTTGGACCCTGGATCTTTAATCAAAATTTTACAGTTAGTTGATAAATTTTTAGTTTTTCCAGCTCCAAAATTCTATGATTTGAAAATACAGTAAGTCCCTGGGTTATGAATGTTTGACTTACATTATGCAAATCTGCCCTCACTTTGAAATGACTGAACCAACCCCTACTAGCAACAAATTCTTCATTACAATCACTTTCACTTGCTGCACGTGTAGCTTTTTAAAATTACTGAAAAGGCTTCAAGGCTTTTCGTACTCTAAAGACAGGCTAACTAAGAATGTTATGTGGCTGGTCTGACGCACCTACAATTTGACTTAAAGACACACTGAGGAACAGATATAGTTCATAACTAGGGGACTACTTGTATAGTTACTTTCTGTATTGGTTTCAGTATTTTTTTTTTTTTAAAGAAACAGTCTTTCTTTCTTAAATTAAACCCTAATCTGTTTAATTAGACTTATGTAAATACTTCAAAAAGGTCACTTCTAATCTTATTTCTCTGATGAATTTAATATTAGCTCCTAGATACATTTGTCTAAAAATACTATAGAAATAGTATATAACTGAAGGAAATAGACTTTTATACTATATTCCATTTAACGTTTCTATTAAGAATAAAAAGATCATATTATAATTTTAAATTTAAGAAAAGCATGGGTTTAAAGAATTCTATTACACAATTTGATTAGGTTCTTCACACTTTAAATTCAATGAGAAAAACATTTTAATGTATCAAAAGTAGCTAACATGTTAAATTCCATGCTTGACAAAGGATTAAAAACAGTATTTTCAAATCTACCATATAATTGACAATAATGATCAAAAACAATGCATTTTTCCCCATCACTAGCTGTGCTGACCAAAAAACAAAACAACCCCCCCCCCAGGTAATTTCAATATTTAAAACCTGTTACCAGTTCCCCTGAAGAAATGGCTACATGTAGGAACACTTTCATATCACTCCTGCAGCCCAAATTTCCCACGAAACAGAGGAAAACATCTACACAAACTATAATACTACCAAAGTTCCTTTCTCCCATAAAGGGAGAAACCATAAAACCTCTAACCCCCAAACACACAAAAAGGCTATAATTTACATTTATTAGTTTGACTTTTCACATATGGTAAGGGCTTTACAAAACCCAGAGTAAATTCTCAATACTTAAAACAATGAATACAAAAAGTTTTATGTGTAAGCTATCTTCAACAACCATGATGAAATTATAAGCAAAGATTCTGTCACTTCAACAGGTTGTTTTAATATTAAATCTTCCTTTGAAGAAGAGATGCTCAAGTAAACTATGTACTTCAGTGTAATGAAAATGAAGTTGAGTATACACAAATTAAACAGGAAAAAAAAGAAAAACTAATTTCTTAAAGACTGCTTGGTGATAATATGCTATTCAAAAATTGCCTTTCAAACCTTAAAGGGCCTAGCTTGCTTTATTATTTTTTTCTACGATCCAAAAAGAGTATCTGCTAATAAAATCAATGCCATACAATTGTACATGTGAAAAAATGTGAAAGTGGCAAATACTGGGCTATATATATTTTACGACAATAATAAATCTAGTGTCATGTTTTAAAAAAATGATTGCCACAAAATGACTACTGGACAAAAGGATAAGAGGCCACTGACATTTTTACAATTAGACAGTATCTAAAATCAATTTACAACTGGCTAAAAAAAAAGTTAAAAATAAACAATTTTTAAAAAAGTAAAAGGCTAATTTGATTTTAGTTGAAATTTTAATTGTTATACTTTTAACATTATGGATGGGGGAGTTAAATACTTATTTCCACTTAAGAGTATGAAAAAGAAAGTATGAGTACATGGTCTATGCTGTAATTCAGAAGCACTTACTGTCAAGTCACACTCCCCAATCATGGCAATAAAAGCAAACAAAAAAAAAATCAAATCTAATAGGTTACCTTTGCACACACAAACTTTAGTCTCTTCTCATCAGAAATAAAATACCCCTTTAATTGAAAAAGAAAGTTATTTATGGGATCTTAGATGACACTGAAAAGAATTGGTAAAAACTCATTCATAATTTAATCAAATGTCTTAGCATTTTCCCCTCTTCAGTATAAAAGTTTACAGATGATTTTCATATTCCATCACAGTTACATGGTCTAGTGCATTTCAGAGTATTTGGAAATTATCAAAGTTGTCCTTTCCCAGTGAAAACATGTAAGAAAACTTCTCAAATAAGGTGTTAAAGTGTCATGATATGGAACTACTTATTCTTTCGGCTCTCACCTCCTTTAAGTACAAATGCTGTTATTCTCCAAAGAAATAATAACTATTCTACTGCTCTACTATTGTACAGTATCAACCAGTAACAAGTCGTCTTTCTCAGTCAGAGGACGCTAACATGTATTCTGATGCTATTTCGCAAAAGAATGTTTAGTAGACAGAAAGAACTTTGGGCTCATCTTATTTTTTTTTTCTTCTTCCTTTTTTTCTTTTGGTAAAGTTAACTTTCCATCACATACTGTATCACCTTTTGCTGGATTAAGATTAGCTGGGAAGTAGCTGTGTATTCTTAGGAAGAGATGGCAATGGACCTTTTAGATCATGCTGGTACTTATGGTTAAATCACATCTAATGTGAAATTCCGAATTACATCCAGAGCTCCAGTATCAAAGCCACACATATCCAACATGCCTCGATCATCTGGGTCTGCAATGGTAAAACCATTTGATGTCATTCCGCAAACAATCAATTTGGCTGGAATACCCATTTTCTGCAGGAAAAGATCAAAATATTTAAAGGTTTTTATTAAGAAAGCAAATATCCTCCAAAATTAAAATATTTTAAAATCTGTAGTATAACTTTTCATTACAAAGTTAATTTTTTTTTTTTCCTGTCTCCATAAAATTTGTCACCTTTCAGGGCAGAATCCTTCATAAAGCACCTGAGTACTTTGTACTCACAGAACTGAGTCAGGGTGTTCAGGGGAGCTAGACATTTTCATCAACTTATCAAATACTAGAGTATGTGTGGATATAAATATAATGAAGTATTTCTCTGGAATTATCATTTTGGCCTATGACTTTGATATGTACAATATTCACATGTCCCATGGAAGAACTTATGTTGTCCTCCACAGCTACAATTTAAGGTTAAAAAAACGGAGTTTTGAGAAGAAGTAATAATTAGTGAGTGTGCAGTATGTCAGACACTAATAAGCTCTTAATTTATCTAATTATCATCGTTACAGCAATCCAAAACGTAAGTACTATTATCTACTATGACTTACAGCAGTTAAGTAATCTGCACAAGCCCACACTCAGTAGAAGAGATACGCAGGACCTGGAACCCACGTTGTCTTGACTCCAAAATCTATTTTCTTCACCTGTGCTGCTAATACTCAAGCTTATTATCAGAATGTGCTGTCAGGCTTGTTAAAACATACTGCTGGGTCCCATTCCCATAGTTTCTGATTCAGTAGGACTTTGTTGGTGCCCAGGAATTTGCATTTATAACAAACCTGGTGTATTATGCCTGGTGATGCTAAGGCTGCTGGATGAGAACCACTACTATTCAACAAGTTCTTTTTCTGTTTCCAGTCACAGTAGCCACATTTCAAGTGCTCTACAGTCCTCTGTGGCTAGTGGCTATTAGCAAATACAGAACATTTCTATCATTTCAGAAAATCGTATAGGAGAAAACTGATTAGAACACAAAAATACCGAAAAAACTTAAAAAGTATAAATAATAGCTTTGTTTTAATTTTATGAAGTCTTTTGGCAAAATTCACAAATGATAGTTCTAATTTTCAAGGAGCACACTGAATCATTCAAAAATTAACATTGTTGTTGTTAGGTGTCGTTGAGTATGTTTTGACTTACAGTGACTCTATGTGTGATGGAATGAAAAACACTGCCTAGTCCTGTTTCAGCCCACTGTTGCAACCACTGTGTCAATCCATCTCGTTGAGCGTATTCCTCTTTTTTCACTGACCCTCTAACCCTCATGACCAAACCTGAAGTCTTCCTCCAAAGAGTGGTCCCTCCTAATATTGTGGCCAAAGTACGTGAGACAAAGTCTTGTCATCCTCGTTACGAAGGAGTGTTCTTATTATACTTCTTCTGAGACAAATTTGTTTGTTCTTCTGGAAGTCCGTGGTACATTCAATATTCTTCTCCAACACCGTTATTCAAATGAATCAATTCTTCTTCAGTCTTCCTTATTCACTGTACAGCGTTCATACATGAGGACTAAGAATACCATGGCTTGGGTCAGGAACTTAGCCCTCAAAGTGACATCTTCGCTTTTGAACACTTTAAAGAGGTCTTTTTGCAGTACGTTGGCCCAATGCAATATGTCTTTTGATTTCCTGACCACTGCTTGTAAGGGTGTTGAGTGCGTAAGTAAAACGAAAACGTTCACAATTTCAATCTTTTCTCCATTATCATGATGTTGTTTACTGATCCACTTGTGAGGATTTTTGTTTTCTTTATATTGAGGTGTAATCCATATTGAAGGCTAGTCTTTGACCTTCATCAGTAAGTGCTTCAAGTTTCCTTTCAACAAGCAAAGTTGTGTCATTTGTGTATTGCCAGACTGTTAATGAGTCTTCCTCCGATATTAATGCCATGCTCTTTTTCATATAGTCCAGCTTCTCTGATTATTTGCTCAGCATACAAATTGAATAAATTTGGAAAAAGGATACAACCCCAGCACACACCTTTCCAGATTTTAAACCATACAGTCAGTATCCCATTGTTCTGTTCAAACGACTGCCTTTTTGTTATGCATGAATATAATTAAGTGTTCTGGAAATCCCATTCTCTGCAATTTTATCCATAATCTGTTATGATCCACACAGACGAATGCCTTTGCATAGTGAAACCAAACCAAACCAAACCCTACAGGTAAATATCTTTCTGGTATTCTCTACTTTCAGCCAAGATCCATTTGACATCATCAATGATATCCCTCATTCTGTGTACTCTTCTGAACCCAGCTGAATTTCTTGCAGTTGTCAATAAACTGCCACAATTGTTTCTGAAGTATCTTTAGCAAAATTTTATTTAAGTGTGATATTAATGACACTGTTTAATAATTTCAGCATTCTCTTGGATATTTCTTTGTAATAGGCACAAATAAGGATCTTTCTAGCATACAATGAAGATTTTCAGTGTTGCATATGTCTGCTGAAACATATCCACTGGTATTCCATCATTTTCTGGAGCCTTGTGTTTTACCAATGCCTTTGCTGCAGGTAGGACTTCTTTGAACACAATACATTTTTGATCATATGCTACTTCCTGAAATGGCTGAACATCGGTCAATTCTTTTTGGAACAGTGGCTCTGTATATTCCTTCCATCTTCTTTTTATTATGATTTGGGTTAAAATTTACAAAGCAAATTCATTTTCCATACAATAGTTCACACTCATTTTGTTTCATGACATTGACCACAATCCCCACCACATAACAGCCCTCCTCCTACTTCCTCTTTGTGGCCACCTTTTCCCTGTGTCCTTCTTTTCCATGTATTCCTGTCCTCTGAACTATCTCCCTGTGCAAATACTGCCCTTCTGATCTCCCACGGTTGATCATTCTAAGGAGTGTACCTACCTGGTGTAAATGTTCATCTTATATGCCTGTGTGTTATTTGGCTGGAAGCCATAGGAGTGAGTTCAATTCTAGGTCCGATTTCAAGGGCCATAGTCTCTATCAGACCAGTGAATCTGGTCTTTTTTATGAGTTTAAGTTTTGTTCCACATTTTTCTTACTCTATCTGGGATCTCCTACACTGATCCTTTTCTGATGGTTTACAGTGGTTGCTGGGCACCATCTAGTTCTGGTCTCACGGTTATATAGACTAAGGTTCACATGGTCCACTAGTCCCTTGAACTCAGGGTTTCCTTGTGTCATTGGTTTTCTTCATTCTTCTCTGCTCTGGACCCACTGCTGCATCTTAGATGGCAGTTTGCAAGCTTTCACTACTCACCAAAGTAGGACATAAAAAACTCATTGCCATCGAGTTGATTGCGACTCACAGTGACCCCCACTGGGTTTCCAAGGCAGTAAATCTCTATGGAAGTAAACTGCCCCATCTTCCTTCTGCAGAGTGGCTGGTGGGTTTGAACTGCTAAACTTCTGGTTAGCAGTCAAATGCCTTAGGCACTGTGTACCCCAGAGCTCCCTAAAGTAGGGTACAGAACAATGTTTTTGTGTAGCAATTGAGCTTGATAGTCTCTGCACCCACAGTCCCCAGCCCACAGGCCCAAAAACTCAGTCCCTCAGGATGCTTGGCTGTAGTTAGGAAGTTACCTTGACTTTGGCCCGTTAGCTTTATTATATAGGCATTGTTACAGCACATACAAATACATATGTAGAAATATTGTCTGCCATGGGAATATTCCCTTTTGCCTAGACATACGTGATCATTCAGCCTGTTTACCTGTGTATCCACCCATACATTGTTGTTGTTGTTGTTGTTGTTATGTGCCATCGAGTCGCCCCAACTCATAGCGACCCCTCCTTGGGTTTCCGAGGCAGTATCACTACGGCAGTAGATTGATTGCCCCATCTTCCTTCTGAGGAGTGGCTGGTGGGTTTGAACCGCCAGCCTTCTGGTTAGCAGTCAAGTGCCTTAGGCACTATGCTACCAGAGCTCCCACCCATACATTAATGTTTGTTATTATTGATAATGCAGTACTGTGTATGTAAAAGTGTTTATCTTTGTTGTTCATACCTCTTGTGCATGTCTATCTTCTTTTGATGCTTCCTGTATCATTCACTGTATGGCACATAGAATCCTTCGATGTTAGAACTTAAGGCTTAATTGTTTTTCCCTTTCGGTATTCTAATTCCAGGTGTTTGTATATTTCACTATAATTTTCTTGAGTGAGCCTCTGAAATCTTCTGTTTAGCTCTTTTAGTTCATCATTTCTTCCATTTGCTTTAGCTACTCTATGTTCAAGAGAAAGTTTCAGAGTCTGACATTCATTTTGGTCTTTTCTTTCTTTACTGTCTTTTTAAAAGACCTTTTGTTTTCTTCAGGTACACTGCCCTTGATGTCACCCTACAACTTTTCTGATCCATTAATGTTCAATGCGTCAAACGTATTTTTGAGATGGACTCTAAATTCAGATAGGATATACTCAAGGTTATATTCTGGCTCTCACAGACTTGTTTTAATTCTCTTTAACTTGAGTTTGCATATGAGCAACTGATTGTTCCAGTCACTCCCTGGCCTTGTTCTGATATTGAGCTTCTCCATTATCTTTCTGTATCGATAAACTGAAATTCCCATGTATCCCATCCAGTGAGGATGGAATAATTTATAGTAAGATAAAATATGTATTTCTCTTGATTATTGCTAAAATTATTGTTTGCAAGCATATTATTAGAAATATACAGCATTGGAATTGGTTGAAAAAACATTACATATATGTATGGACAATACTTTTCCTTATTTCAAGTACTACTGACACTGTAACTGGCATTAGTTTCCTATACAAAGGTACAGAACTACTTTTAGTAATATTTTTTGAATAGATAGTGAATATTTGAGAAATGACTATTTCTAGGGTGAGAAAAAATATTAGATTTCATTTTACCTTCCGATACTCTCTTAGAGCAACAACAGGATGGACACTTCCAGCAAAGGTCTCATTATCAGTGAATACAATGAAGACATCAGCAGCTGTGTTTGTCTTCTGAGCCCAGATCATTGGCAGAGCGCAATCAGTTCCACCTGCTGGGATCTAACTCATAACAAAAACATAAATAAAAATAAAAGTCTTTACTTCCCCATTAATTATTCACATTATCTTTTTGTTTACAACCAATATATAAGCCTTCCCAAAGCCTACATATATTTTTTTGATTTTATGCTTCTAGTGAGAAAATTAACATATAAAACAATTTGTTCTCACAAACTGTATATAAAATTATTATATATGTTAAGTATACTTATTAGTTTCTTACCTGATTCATAGCCATTAAAACTTCTTGTAAGGTCATATCTGCAGTAACTTGACATGGCACCATTTCATCTGAAAAAGCAACTACATAAGAATCTTTTTCTGTCCGTGTGACAACCTGAAAAATTCAATGGTAGTAATTTTCAGCAGAGTTTGAGGAAATGAGTATAGTATGATGAAGCCTGACAGAGCTGGAACTCAACAAGATTGCCTTGTTGTTCCAGGTCTTCTAAGTTTTCCCTGTTTGACAGGGTACAGTCTTACTACTTTTCTACAGCTTGTTTTAGGAGAAAATATTTGAGTTTTCTGTCTCTGACAAATTATCCACCTTATACAGGTTCCAGCTTTCATAGGTTTTACTGTATCTCAAGTACATAAAAATTCAGCTTTCAGAAAAATACAATATGAGGTTTATGCTATTACTAAACTTGCATTATCAGGTTTTGGAGCTACATGCAACAGCAGTATAGTTTATAAAGTACTTTCACAAAGAAACTGGTTTTTATAACAACAACCCTCTGAAGCAAATTGAGTATATATTCTTCTCATTATATTAAATAAGGAATAAAGCCACAGAAGAAAAGCTAAGAAGCTAGCCTACTGTTTATCTCCTATTCAGTGACAGGCTAGAACTGAAGTCTTCTGACCTGATCCCTTATCTTTAAACTTTTATATTCATTAAATATTTTTAAAAATGTATTATCTGCTTTCTCAAAATTACTAATTTTCTGCTATAAAAATTAAAATTTCTATTCTTACAATTCTTTAAACATGTTTTCCCAGTGTGCTTAAAATTTTGCTTTAAAAAATTATCTTCAGCTCTAAAAGGGTAGAAAAATGTACCAAATTAAGCTGGAGAAATACAAATAAATGAAAATGTATTTCCTGATTATATATAACTTTACAGTTTTGCTCCATTCTAAATATTTTTTTAGAGTAGAAAAAATTCAAGATGGTCTTAATTTTCTCACCATGCACATTGCTGCAGCAACTGCACTAGCATTGAGTATACTACCCAAAACTCTTTGGTTCATAGAAGCACTGACATCCACAGCCAGCAAGAAACGCTTTCCCGTTGGCTCGACTATCTAAAGAGAGAACAAAATAAAAAAAATCTTCACATGCAATCACAAAAATTATAAATAGATTAAGTTTCTAATAAATCACATTTGCCTACCACCTTTCCTTCAAAGGACTAAAGTGAAAGCCTTTCTGATTTTTTGATTGACAATTATTTCAACAGGCGTGGGAGCTCTGGTGATGCAGTGCCTAAGGCATCTGACTGCTAACCAGAAGACTGGTTGTTCAAATTCACCAGCCACTCCTGGAAAGGAAGATTGGGCAATGTACTTCCGTAGAGATACCTCTGACACCCAGGGAGGGTTTGCTATGAGTTGAGTCAACTTGACAGCAGTGAGTTTGGTTTGGTTTTTGGTAGCTTTCACTAATGGTAAAATAAAGTAAATAAGATAACATATTAAATAATTTTATTTAAAAAAGGATCTACCTATTTTTTCTTTTAAGTCTTTCTCACTGAGGTAGAGTAAAAATTTCTAAGAAATTTTTAAAATCAATAATGTTAACTTTTGGTTTTGACATGGAATTTCCATTTCTAAAAATATTACTTCCTATATCAAAGCAGATGACATCCATTTATTAAGAGGAAAAGCAGAGGACAGATCATGCCAAAGAATCCTATAGGAGCAAAAAATTTTAAAGTTGGCAATTTAAAATTATCAAAATGATTTTAGGATAATTAGCAGCTGGTAAAAGGCAGGGAGAAATACTTTACTAATAAACTTACAAGATTCATTACATATCCATACACCCACAAAACCAAACCAAACTCACTGCCATCAAGTTGATTCCAGCTCACAGTGACCCCTGTTGGGTTTCTACTTCTTTATGGAAGCAGATCACCCCATCTTCCTTCTGTAGAGCAGCTGGTGGGTTTGAACCATTGACCTTTGGGTTAGCAGACAAATGCCTTATGCACTATGCCACCACACCTCCTTACCTACACAGGTACTCCTTACTTATTGACTATCGTGTTATCAAACATCTCACATTTACGACGATAGTAAAAACAAAAACAAAAACAAAAAAACTATTTTGCATATTAACATGATATACCTGGCTGTAACAGACATTGAGGTATGAGACAAAAGTAAGGCTGGCTGTGATAAAGTTATGTGTCAACTTGGCCAGGCCATGATTCCCAGTGGGAATGATGTAATCATCCTCTGTTTTGTGATATGATGTGATTGTCATCCTCCATTTCCACATAATGCTGATTTTCACATAATGACCTGCTCTATGGAACCTAACCATGTTGCTAAGTAAGGAGTGGGTGTATTTATATGAACTAAGGAAAAACAAATGAGTATCTAACCCAAAATGGTTTTGATGATTAATATAACCATTAAAATATGTTTTAAGATTTTTTTTTTTTATATCATTACCTTAAAAGTCTTGTAAAAAGCGTCATCTAATGCTTTCAAAATTTCATTATCAGGGCGCCACTTCAGTTTTCCTCTAAGCCCATGCCCTGTTTTATAAGTTTCTAGTGCAAGTAAAACATGAAATGGATGTATACGAGCCTAGAAACAAGATAACAGAAAGCAAATACAAAATTCAAGTTAAAAATAATAGTAATTATGTATCTTCCTTGAATTTTCCTGTTACTGTTTGTATCTCCCAAACATCTTTCAAACATGGCAAAATGAAGATCTATTAACCTTAAATTTAAGAGTCAAAATGTAATCTGGTATGAGAAGAATCTTAGAACACCAAAAAATACACTAACTACATTTCCAAAATTTAGAAGGCAACTTTTTGAATCAGCAGTGGCTAAGAAAGGGCTACTCTGATGACTAGCAAGAAGGATGGGGCCATCCACTCCTGAAAAAATTGGTCACCGAAAACCTTATGAATAGCAGTGAAACTGTCTGTGATACAGTGATGGATAATGAGCTCCTCAGGCTGGAAGGCACTCAAAATACGACTGGGAAAGAGCTGCCTCCTCAAAGTAGAGTCACCCTTAATGATGTGGACAGAGTAAACTTTCAGGACCTTCATTGCTGATGGGGCATGACTCAAAATGAAAAGAAGCATTTAGAAGAAATTATTATTAATCATTAATCATCAGAACATGGAATGTATGAAGTGGAAAACTAGGTTATCAAAAATGAAACAGATTGTAAACAGACTGATATCTTAGGCCTTACTGAGCTGAAATGGACCGGTGTTGACCATTCTGTATCAGAAAATCACATGGTCTACTATGACGGGAATGACAAATTGAACAGGAATAATGTCGCATTCATGGACAAAAAAAACTTTCAAGATCCATCCTGAAGTATAATGTTGTCAGTGACAATAATATCCATATGCCTACGGGATGACCAGTTAATACTAATATTATTCAAATTTATGCACCAGCCACTAAAGCCAAAGGTGAAGAAATCAAAGATTTTTACTAACTTCTGCAGTCTGAAATTGATGAAACATTCCATCAAGATATATTGATAATTACTGGTAACTAGAACGCAAAAATTGGAAATGAAGCAGCATTGATAGTTGGAAAATACAGCCTTTGTGAAAGAATGATTCTGGAGATCACATGATAGAATTCTTAACACCTACGAATACCTTTTTTCCAACAACATAAATGGTGACTATACACATGGACCTTGCCAGATAAAATGCACATAAATCAGATTGACAGTATCTTTGGAAAGAGGTGATAGAGAAGCTCAATAACATTAGTCAGAACAAGGCCAGATGCTAACTGTGGACTAGACCTTCAATTGCTCATATGCAAGTTTAAGCTAAAGCTGAAGAAAATTAAAAGAAGTCCACAAGAGCCAAAATACAACCTAGAATATATCCCACCTGAATTCAGAGACCACCTGAAGAACAAATTTGATGCACTGAACACAAATGACTGAAGACCAGATGAACGGTGGGATGACATTAAAAAAAATTATATATGAACTATGCAAAAGGTTATTGAAAAGACAGAATAGGAAGAAAGGACCAAAATGGATGTTAGAAGAGACTCTGAAACTTGCTCTGATATGTAGAATAGCTAAAGCGGATGGAAGAAATGATGAAAAAGTGCTAAACAGAAGATTTCAAAGGCAGCTTTCGAAGACAAAGTAAAGCATTATGATGAAATGTGCAAAGAACTGAAGTTAGAAAACGAAAAGGGAAGGACACGCTTGACATTTCTCAAGCTGAAAGAACTGAAAAAAAAATTCAAGCATCAAGTTGCAATACTGAGATTCTATGGGAAAACTAGTGAATGACATGGGAAGCATCAAAAGAAGATGGAAGAAATACACAGAATCATTGTACCAAAAGAACTCGTCAACACACGAGGAGGCAGTATATAATCAAAAACTGATGGTATTCAAGTAAGAAGTCTAAGCTACACTGAAGGAACTGGCAAAAGCAAGGCTCCAGGAATGGATGGAATATCCACTGAAATGTTTCAACAAATAGATGCAATATTGGAAGTGCTCACTCATTTATGCCAAGAAATTCAGAAGACAGCTACCTGACCAAATGACTGGAAGAGATCCCTGTGTGTATTCATTCCAAAGAAAGGAGATCCAACAAAATGCGGAAATTATCAAACCGTATCACACATGCAAGTAAAATTCTCATGAAAATAATTTTAAAACAATTATAGCAGTGTACTGCCAGAGAACTGCCAGAAATTCAAGCTGGATTCAGAAGAGGGTATGGAACGAGGGATGTCATTGCTAATGTAAGCTAAATCTTGGCTGAAAGCAAAGAATACCAGAAAGATGTTTACCTGTGTTTGATTGACTATGCAAAGGCATTCGACTGTTTGGATGTTAACAAATTATGGATGATGTTGACATAGATCAAAATGCAGTCATTTGAACAGAACAAGGGCATACTGCATGGTTTAAAATCAGGAAAGGTGTGCATCAGGGTTGTATCCTTTCATTGTAATTACTCAATCTGTAAGACAACCAAATAACCTGAAAAGCTGGACTATACGAAGAACGTGGCATCAGGATTGGAGGGAGACTCATTAACAACCTGCTATACACAAGATGAGAAGACCTTGCTTACTGAAATTGAAGAAAACTTGAAGTACTTCCTTATGAAGATCAAAGATTACAGCCTTCAGTATGGATTACAACTCAATATAAAGAAAACAAAAATCCTTACAACTGGACCAATAAACAACATGATAAATGGAGAAAAGACTGAAGTTGTCAGGGATTTCATTTTACCTGGATCCACAATCAACACTCATGGAAGCAGCAGTCAAGTAATCAGATGAAGTATTGCACTGGGCAAATCTGCTGCAAAAGACCTCTTTAAAGTGTTAACCAACAAAGATGTCACTTTGAAGACTAAGGTGGGCCTGACCAAAGCTAAGGTATTTTCAATAGCTTCCTATACATATGAAAGCTAGACAATGAATAAGGAAGACCACAGAAGAATTGATGCCTTTGAATTGTGGTATTGGTGAAGAATACTGAGAATACCATGGACTGCCAGAAGAACAAACAAATCTGTCTTGGAAGAAGTATAGATGGAATGCTTCTTAGATGTAAGGATGGCCAGACTTTTTCCCACAGGCTTTGTCTTGTTGTCAGAAGGGACCAGTTCCTGGAGAAGGATATCATGCCTGGTAAAGCAGAGGGTGAGTGAAAGAGGGGATGACTCTCAACGAGATGGACTGACAAAGTGGATGTAATCATGGGCTTAAGTATAGCAAGAATTATGAGGATGGTGAAAAAACAGGCAGTGTTTCATTCTGTTGTACATAGGGCTGCTGTGAGTTGGGGCTGACTCAATGGTACCTAACCACTACAACAAGAAGAAAGGGCACTGAGAATGCTTACCTTTCTTATCAGTTTTTCATTACACAGTTTTTCACATACTAAAGATACTTCTGAATTTCCTGGTTCAAGCACTGAATTAGCAGTCATCTTTCCTAGATTTCTTAGTAATGCAGTAAGTGGCATTTCTTGTAACAAAGCCTTCCATACCTATTGCAATAATATAGGTAGAAGTATAAGGAATCAAAGGAAAACGAATTGATGTACATAGTTATATCATAATATTCATAATATATCTCTAAGCCTTTAATATGGGGTGCAGAGCACTTTTAGAATGAAAATCTATGCTACTTGGTCAAAGGCTTATCAAATAAGCTAACTTGTTCTTTACTAGAATAATAAAGTGAAGTATATTGAAAGGAACAGCATAGAAAAAATTTGTTTTACTTGACATAGCTTTCAACGAGTGTATTTTCCAGAGTGGAATGATACTTACTAAATGACAACTACATTCCAGGCGTTTGTGAAAAATGTTTTAAATAAACATTAATATCATGACAGAGTTAATTTCTTTCTTAAAAAAAGTAATTAATATACAGTTATATGTTTATCCTTTTAAAATATTACATAAATTATTCATGTTTAAACACATAAACCAAGAACTAAACCCATTACCAATGAATTGATTCCAACTCACGGAGACCCCACGTTTAAGACTAGAACTGCTCCACAGGGGTTTTTCTGGCTGTAATCTTTTCAGAAGCAGACTGTCAGGCACCACACAGTGGGTTCAAACCACCAAACTTTAGGTTCGTGGTTAAGTGCAAACCACCTACACCATTATGTTTAATCACATACTGTAATTTACTCACCTCTTTAGACTTTAAGTGGTTTGTTAGAAGATGTTCTCTAACTAATCTGTGCTCTTCTATTAGATGAATGACTTCCAGTTCATCTTTTGTTCGCTTGACTTTCTCTACAGCTTCCAGATAATTTAATAATTTTTCAGTCTCCACAGAAAGTGCTTTTTCCTTATACAATTCATGGACCTCTTTCCAGCCCTTTGTAATGTATTTGGTCACAATAGCAAGTCCTTATGAAAATAAAGAATTAAAAAGACACGTAGAATTACCAGGTAAAAAAATAAAAATGTTAACTGAATATATATGATATGACAGTCATAATGTGAGACTTGGGGGGAGGGGAACCTATATCCTAAGTCATTTTGTCACAGAAGTTTTTTTTTAATTTTCTATTTTTATTTTTGATACAACAGAATTAGAAATTTTGGTTGACAATGCTTATCTCAAGACCATAATTTCAGAATAATTTACAAGTATATGGATCTATCCCAGTTAATCTTATGAATTCACTTGTCTCTTTCAGGTGCTTAATAAATAATGAATTTTTGAATAGCAGAGATAAGTGGAGGAGCTCTGGTGGTGTAGTGCCTAGGGCACTTGATTGCTAACCAGAAGGCTGGTAGTTGAAACCCACCAGCCACTCCTCAGAAAGAAGATGGGGTAATCTACTTCTGTAGTGATACCACCTCGGAAACCTAAGGAGGGGCCGCTATGAGTTGGGTCTGACTAGATGGCACATAACAACAACAACAACAGAGATAAGTGGAAGCAAATAGACAGGTAAATAATTTTTGTTTTTATAGCTGAGAAAACACCATAGGCAAATTTAAAAAAATAAAGGGGAAAATAATGAAATATTTGTTCATTCCTTTTACAATTACCTTTAATAGTAGAAAGAGCTTCGGGTTGGGGGTAAGAAAAATCTAAGTTCTAGCCTTATTTTGTAATATATAAGCTGTATCATCTTTCCAGACCTTAATTTCCACTTCTAAAAAAGGTGATAATTTAATTTTCAAATTCAAACCTCTTTGAAGGGACAGACAGTTAAATAAATGATCCAAGCAAAGAGACACAATAAAGCAATATAATGGGAAGTGGTTATAACCATGTGTGATGAACTGAAGACAGTACATCCTGACTAGTGTTTTAGCCAAGTGTTGCTCAGAAAATGTATGTTTAAGAGAAGTCAGAACATGGATTTTCATGTGAAGTCTTATTATTTTCTCCCTAAAATATCATTCAAACAAAAGAAAATACATCTCTAAACCAGATTTATCTAATGTGCTATTTCTAAACTCTAAGTCATTAGAAGTCAACACTATATGCAAGAATTTCTAAACTATTATGACTCTTGCTATCATCCAAATTTTGGTACAAAATCTTATATTGTCTTAAACAATCAACCATTTCACGTAAGCATGTCTTCTATTTTGTTTTTCTAGCTAAAATGAAAAATTTCTCAATGGCAATCTTATAATTATTTTTATCTACCCAGTTCTAGTACTGGCCACATAAATAGATGCACATTAAATACTTAATTAATTGACTTATTTTATCTGTTATGTGGTAGTTAAGTTTGTGTGTCAACTTGGCTGGGCGTGGTTGAGTGGCTGGGCAGCTGGATGTAGTATTCCCCATGATGAGAGTGGTAATCATCAACTCCATGGTGGAATCTACTCTGAGCAGCTGAGTAGCTGCCTTAGGGATATGGTCTGGTTCCTGAATATAAGAACAAGCCTTGGGAATGGTCTCTAGCTTATGGCATGCTTAAACCCTGCATGCAGCTGGGTCGTCGTTCAGCAGCCTGCCATGCTCTGCCGATCTTGGGACTTTAAATGGACTTGAATTAATGGCCTGCCATGTGGTTTGGTAATATTGGGACTGTGCCTTATTACTTGTCAACCTTGGGCCCGTCAGACTCAGCAGCCAGCAGCTGACTGAAGAAAAGCCTCCAGCTTCAGTGGGCCAGGAGCAGGAGGTAGAGCTGAAGTCCAAGGTTGAGGGGCTTTCACCCAGTCCCTACAGCCTGGCACCTTGAATTTGGACTTAAAGTCTCCAAACTATAAGAGGATAAACTCCTGTTTGTTCAAGCCATCCCATTTGTGGTGTATTTTTGTTACTAGAGTGGTACTAGGTAACCAGAACATGTTATAAATGCACATTTCAATTAAAGTATATTGTTCACACCTTACTGGGAGTTTGTTTCAAAATTCTTTTCAGTCTGAGCAGCTTAGAAATTGCTATTATTTGACATTATGCCTAAATTTGAGATTGCTATTACAAGGTTTCAAGTATGAATTCTGCCTTCAACAATTAAAGAGTCTTAACTAAAAGATGAAATTTAGAGAATACTTAATGCCTCATTTTATAGATCAGGAAACCAAAGCCCAGACCAGTATCTGCACAGTTCAGAAATTAATCTGTATAAGTAGAGCTAGCAACTATGTGGTCTTCCTCTTAATTCAGTACTCACTCCACACCACCATGTAGTGTATTAATGAACAAATAACATAAACAAACAAGTAAGATAAATAAAGCTGAATCCCTATGTTCTTTGTATAGAATCAGAATTAAAAGTAATAAAATCATGGCTACGTGAGAAAGAAAAGCCCAGATAAATATTCTTATCATCTTAGTTGGATAATGGAAGGAAGGTTGGGCAATCTACTTCCGTAAAGATATCGCCTCGGAAACCCAAGGGGGGGTTGCTAAGAGTTGGGACTGACTTGATAGCAGTGAGTTTGGTTTCTTTGGTTTTAGTTGGGTAAGTTCTTTCCAAACCTAAAACAAAATCTCAAATCTATGAAGAACAATAGGTAAGTTACATTACATTAAAATTCCAAACTACAAAGGTAAGTTAGATTATAGTAAAGTTCCAAACTTCTTTATACTAGAAACACCTCATCCCAAGAAAAAATCTAAAGACAAAGAACTACAGGAAAATGCATGAAATGTATATAATAATAAATTATTAACTTCTACACTATGTATCCCAACAGTGCCCATCTATAGTAGGTACTCAGTAAGTCTTTGCTGAATGAATGAGTGGTGACCATAATCAATATTAAACACAATTGCAACCTAATGGATAAAAGGGCAAAGATCCAATAATAAAATCCACAGGAAAAAAAAATACAAATAATCAGTACATAAAAAAATGAGCACCCTCAAAATGCAAATTCAAATAACAAGACATAATTTTTCACCTAACAGAAGAAGACTGGGCAATCTACTTCTGAGAGATACCGCCTTGGAAACCCAAGGAGGGGTTGAGGGATTGCTACTAGTTGAAGCGACTCGACAGCAGTGAGTAACAATTAAAATTAAAAATACATATGATACAATTTGTGGAAATGTAAATTTACAACTTAACCATTATAGAAATATTTATTCTACACAAATCACTTCACTGCACTATTTTGTAGTAGTAAAAAAAGTCTGGAAACTACTTAATTGTCCACTAGTAAGAGACTAGCTAAATATAGTATATTTATATGATAGTGTATACACACACATACCTACTTCTACCAGCCTAGAAAACTATTAATAATACGCTTTTAATGGAAATAAACAGAATATCACTGTTTTTTTTAAAAAATTAATATATAGTACAATATATATATATTTAAGGAGCTCTGGTGGCATAGTGCCTAAGGCATCTGACTGCTAACCAGAAGGCTGGTGGTTCAAACTCACTAACTACTCCTCAGAAGGAAGGTTGGGCAATCTACTTCCGTAGTGACACCACCTCAGAAACCCAAGAAGGGGTTGCTACTAGTTGAAGCAACTCGATGGCAGTAAAACATTAAAATTAAAAATACATATGATACTATTTGTGAAAACGTAAATTTACAACTTAACCATTATAGAAATATTTATTCTACACAAATCACTTCACTGCAGTATTTTGTAGTAGTAAAAAAGTATGTAAACTACTTAATCGGCCACTAGTAATGTGCTATGAGTCGGATTTGACTCGACAGCAGTGAGTTTTTTTTTTTTTAATATATAATATATTTAGGAAAATCTGGAGTAAGATACAGCATACTATTTGTAATGATTTTTTTTTAAATGGGAAAAACTTACACTTTCTGCATATTATTTCTGTATGACTCAACTATTTTTTTAAAAAAATATTTAACTGCTAATAAAAAATGAAACACAAATATTCTTGTATATATAAATATTTCCAATAATTTACTGCTTAAATTTCATTTGAAAAGTCCATTTAAAAAGTGGCAAATTAGAAATTACTGAGGAGATTCTGTGCATGAAGGTATCATAATACAGTAAAACCTGAGAAAGTAAAACCTGTGTAAGATGGAAACCTGCCAGAGAAGGAAACCTGAAATATTTTGACTAATAGTGAGTGACAGAAAAGTCATAAGCTGTACCGTCTGTCAAAAGTGGAAAACTTCTAAGACCTGGAAGAGCAGGAAGTCTCGTCATATTCTGGCTCTCACAGATTTCACTGTACAATACATATGGAAGAGAAGGGGAGGGAACAAATACTGTACTTCTATTACTTGCTCAAGAGTATTTATATGCCTTCTAAGAAAGAGTAAGTAAGTATTATAGCACCAATTAACTGCTTGAAAGTCTCTTCCCATACCAAAACAAAACAAAACAAAAAACCCACTTGCCATCAAGCAAATTATGACTCAGAGCAATTCCATATTCACTGCCATCCAGTAGACTCTATTCAGCGACCCTATAGGACAGAGTGGAAATGCTCCACAGGGTTTCCAAAGCTGTGAATCTTGACAGAAGTAGACTGCCTCATTTTCCTCCCATGAAATGGCTGGTGAGTTTGAATCACCAACTTTTTGGTTAGCAGCCAAATGCTTTAATCACTGTACCACCAAAGGTCCTAGCAACTCCACAGACAGAAAAATATCTTTGTGTGATTGCCTATTAACATCCTGAATTGCTAGTTAAATTCAGGACTATTTCAGGTAGCTTTTAGGTTCTATAAGGAGCATTGGTGGTGCAGCAGTTAAGGCATTTTGGCTGCTAATCAAACGGTAAGTGGTTTGAACCTACAAGCCACTCAGCAAAGAATAGACAGGGCTGTCTGCTTCTGTGAAGATTTATAGCCAGGGAAACCCAATGAGGGTCTCTATCAACCCAATGGCAGCAAGTTTGGTTTTTAGGTTCTATAAGGAGCCCTGATAGCACAGTGGTTAAAGAATTTGGCTGCCAGCTAAAAGGTCAGCAGTAAGAACCCACCAGCTGCTCTGTAGGAGAAAGATGTGGCAGTCTGTTTCTGTAAAAATTTCCAGCCTTGGAAACCCTATTGGGCAGTTCTACTCTGTCCTAGTTACTGTGTGTCAGAATTGACTGGATAACAATGTGTTTAAGTTCTTTCTGGGAAGACAAAAAAACCAAAAACCAAACTCACTGCTTACTAACTTCTGGTTAGCAGTCAAATGCCTTGGGTACTATGAACCAGAGAGAAAAAAAAGGGGGGCTAGATGGCTTAGTGCCTAAGGCATTTGACTGCTAACCAGAAGGCTGGTGGTTCAAACCCACCAGCCACTCCTCAGAAGGAAGACTGGGCAATCTACTTCTGTAGAGATACCACCTCAGAAATCCAAGGAGGGGATGCTATGAGTCAGAAATGACTCGAGCATAATGAGTTTGGTTTGGTTTTTTGGTTTAGAGAGTACAGCCTGGCTATCTGCCATCTAGTGTCAAGGAGCTACTTTGCTTCTACATTAGTAATCTTGATGCTGCTTTCATAGTCCATAATCATTGAGATGAACATTCAAATTAGTGGTTAACATATTAAGACTTAGAAAATTAATCTGTAAATTGTCATTTAATTTTTGATTAATGTCTGAATTGCTTGTAGTAAGTTTTTAGTTCCATGCTAGCATTTAAAATATTTGAATTAGTCAATTAGTGTATGTTTTGAGAATTAAAGGTTATTTCTGAAATATATAATTATCTTAATGCACATAAAAATTTGCTATTTTTTGAAACACTCCTTTCTTCCCTGTTATAAAGATCTTATGCTTACCTTCGCTAGAAGGTTTAAGATGCGACAATCTTAACAGATCTTTGTGGGACCAGCCATTTCTTTGTTTATATTTTGTAACCGCCAGAGCAAGGGCCATGCCACCCTTTTCATTGTACCAGTCTGCTACAGCCTTCCGGAGCGCACGACCCCACATACCACATTTCATGCTTTCCTTCAGATCTTTCTTAAACTGGATGAAAGTAAAGAGATGTGTAGGAATACGGCAAACTTCAGAAACAGCTTTAAATGCTGCTTGTTTGGTGCTTATGTCAGAACACTGGGAACAAATGGCAAGTGCAAAGAGCATAGGCTCTTGCTTTGCGGTTCTGCCTTCTCGACTAAACAACTTTATTTCCTGTATTACTTCACATCCTCTGCCATCTTCAATTAATCTAATTAGAGATTCAGCATTTTCAAGGCCCAACTTCTGTTCTTTGATATAATAAGTTCCACCTTCAGAACCAAAGCATAAGAATCGGTGTAATCGAATCATGTCAGTCACTTGCCATACATATCCATCTTCAGAATTGGCTATCTGCTTCTCATTTAGTGGATGCATTTGGTTTGCTGATCTCTCCATTTTTCTGTTTTTTAGGAAACCTACCAAGAAAAGAAAAACATTATCATAGTTAGATAAAAACAGCAAAATTATAAAAAGGAAGCAGTATTTATTAATCTATGTTTATTAAAATATTTCATGGAATTTTTAATTTAAAAAAATCTTTTTAACCTAGTAAATTTTTCTCTTAATATAAAGTGTTACCATCTGACTATCCAGAGACAATCACTTAAATACCTTACTTTATAAAATGTTTTTTTTTTTTTTTAATTTACCAAAACTCAAAATCCTTCAAAGCAAACAAACTAGATTATAGCCATGGTAGTATGAGCATTACAAGCTGTGTTGGATTATGCAATAAGGTAAGCATGGGCTTACTTGTACTTACTAATCATAATGAACAATTTCACATTTTTTTAAATCTACATCAATGATTCTGCTAGTAAGTATGACTGGCATCTGTCTTTTTCCCAGTCCCACAGTAGCTTCCTGCAGAATCAAAGCCTCTTCTCAAATTTATAATCCCTGATAGGGACAGAGTACCCCATAAGCAAGGTAAGCATGATGTTTACCTTGCTTACGGGGTACTGTGCCCCTATTATAAGCAAGAAATAAGTAGTCACACCTCTGACGTATAGTATGCTTCTGAGATAAGCAGGTAGGTTAGCATGCAATCTTGAGGTATAAACAGGAGAATAAACCAGGGGTGGGGAGTGATAATAGTCACTAAGACAGATCTTACTCCCTGAAGAGCCAGTCATGTCCTTTAGGAGAGGCTAGATCTTTTCCTAGCGCCCCAAGGAATGAATTTTAATTGCAATAGCCAGTGGTTCTCAAACTTCATGTGCATCAGAATTACCTGAAGTGTTTGTTAAAACATAAATTGGTGGCTCTCGGCCCTAAGAATTTATATTTATCCCAAGTTCCCAAGTGGAGTATAATGGATTTCTCTTTATATATGGTCTTTCAGGCCTTGGATTTATAATTACTCAAAAAATCACTGGCTGGGCCCTTTCTACCAAGGACCTTCTATTTTGACTCTGGTCAGGCAGATAGTGGGAGCTGGGCCCCATTTAGTTCTTCTGGTTTCAGGCTAGATTCAGGCACTCTTTTAAATAGTATATGTGATTTACCGGGAGCTCTGGAAGCATAGTGCCTAAAGCATTTGACTGCTAACCAGAAGGCTGGTGGTTCAAACCCACCAGCCACTCCTCGGAAGGAAGATGGGGCAATCTACTTCCGTAGTGATACTGCCTCGGAAACCCAAAGAGGGGTCGCTATGAGTTGGGTCCGACTCGATGGCACATCACAACAACAATATGTGCTTTACTCATTCAATCTTACCACAACCCAAAGGTGTTGTTATCCTGATTTTACAGATGAGGAAACAGACAATGAGACGACAACTGACTTGCCTATGTCATCCAATTAATGAGTGGATTCAAGTCTACGAAGTCTGGCAGCAGTACAACTGTAGACGTAGACAGAGATTACAAATATATATGCATTTATCCTTTATTGCTTGTTTAAATGTTTATCTTCTCTACCTTGAGCTCCCTAGGGTCAAGGGAACACTACATGGCACACTGCAGTTCATCAATAAATATTTGGTGAGGAAAAAAAAAAATCATTGTTTGGGTTGCAGTTTGCTCTGTAATTGATTTACTTTACATACTTTGCAAGGATTGGTCAATTCTGCCCCCCTGCTAGGCTTATATAGGACCAATTCCACAGATGTTAATGGAGGACCTCACTATAACTGAGAAGAGTCTACAGTGAAGCATGTCCTTTGGACCCATGATCCCTGTGCCGAGAACCTCCAAGTCCCAGAAGAAAGAGCAGAAACACTGAAAATGGCACAAGATGTTGAGAAATGGCAGCAAGCACAGCAGAGCCCAGTGGCAGAGAAATGGTGGCAGCAGTATAAGCACTGAGAGCTACGGGGCTGGCAGATACCTACAAGCCCATTGAGAGAAAGCTGAGTGACTCTGGGCAGGACGCTTGCTGGTAGAGTGGGGTGTCTCCAGGTACTTGTTGGTGAAGATACAAGAGTAACACTTGCCCCAGATGGGCAGAAGCCCAGAGGCCCAGATGGGCCACTGGCTATCACAGGCAAGAGAAGGGCTATCAGCTGTCATGACCGAATAGGAACTGAGAGTTGTCCCGGTTGGAAGCTGTCCTGATTAACAAAGTTGATCTTCTCTCCCGAGTTGCTGCCTGTCACTTCTCTAATAAACCCTGTAGCTATGGGTATGGTCTGTGAGTTCTGTGTGGCCAATGTAACAAACTACTAAACCCAGTAGAGAAGTAGAGTGTGCCATGGTTGGTGGTGCGGATGCTTGGTATCACAAATGATTAAAAAGTTAAAACCAAACCAAACTCACTGCTGTCGAGTTGGATCTGACTCACAGTGACCCCTCAGGTTACTGAGGTGGTATCACCACAGACTGCCCAACCTTCCAACCTCCACCTCATAGGAACCAGCTTTACGCTGATCCAAATTCTCCCTTGTGGATGTAGATGAGTTCTGACAATGCTAGATTATAGCAGGTAATGCTAGACCTGGGCCCAATCACGGTGTTGTCATTCCCCTTTGCCACATGATTATTGGAGGCACTAGGCATGTGTCACAACTCTGGTCAATCTGACACGATAAGAAGTCTGCTCGGAATACTTCTCCGGTTTTCTTCAGTCTTAAAAGGGGGTTCAGGCTCTTAAAAAGGGATGTTCCCTTCTGCCCCGAGACATTTTCTTAACTTTTTATTGTGGTTTTGGGAAATGTTTACAGAGCAAATTCATTTTCCATTCAACATTTCACACAAATTTTGTTTTATAACACGGCCTGCAATCCCTACAATGTAACAGCACTCTTCCCACTTCCTCCCTGTGGTTACCATTTCCTGTGTCCTATCTATTTCTGCCTTCTGAGTTTTATCTCTGGGCAAATGCTGCCCCTTTGATCTCTTATTGTTGACTATTGTAAGGCGTGCGCACCTCCCTGGTGTTAACAGTTCACCTCTCACAGGCCTTTCTATTGTTTGGCTGAAAGCTGAACACTGGGAGTCAGTTCAGTTCTGGGATTAAAGGCTGATGAAGGGCTATGGTCTCAGGGGTCCCACCAGTCTCTACCAGACTAGTATGTTCTACTTTTTCCTTCCACTCTATCCAGGATCTCCTATTATGATCCATTTTAGAGTGGGCAGCACTGGTAGCAGGGCACCATCTAGCTCCCGTGGTCTCAGGGTTGTGAAAGCTGAGGTTCTTGTGGGTCATTAGTCCTTTGACTGAATGTTTTTGATTTTCTTCACTCTTTTTTGCTCCAGGTGAGATCCACAGTTGCACTTTAGAGGGCCACTTGCAAGCGTTTAAGACCCCAGTCACTACTTACCAGAGTAGGATGTAGAACAATGTCTTTGTAGACTATGTTATATACAACTGACTTTGATGCCCCTTGTGACTATGGTCCTGAGCCCACAGGCCTAGTGACTTATTCCCCTCTCCCAATATGTTTGGTTTTGGCTAAAAAGTCTTCATAACTTTGCCCCATTAGCTCACAGATGTTTTTATAGTACATACAAATATGTATGTACTAATATCATTTGCCAAACCTATATATGGTCATGGGTATAGTCCTGTTTGCCTACCCATACCTGATCGCCTTACCTGTCTACTTATGTATCCACTCATAGATTAATGTTTGTCATTAAAGATAATGCAGGATTGTGTATGTAATAGTGTTTACCTTTGCTGTCTGTAATTCTTGTGCACCTCTCTCCCTGTCTTCCTTTTCCTTAGTGATATTGTGCTGGCCACCCACTATTTGTATATTGCCTTTCCCTTGACCCAAATTAATATGTGATTCATAGTTAGTTAGTAATTTTCCCTCCCCTCCCTTCCCATCCCTGGTAACCATCAAAGAATGTTTCCTTTAGTGTGTAAACCTTTCCTTTATTTTTTGTAACAATGGACTCATATAGTATTTGTTCTTTTGTGATTGACTTATTTCACTCAGCATAATGTCCTCCAAGTTCATCTACGTTATGTGCTATTTTCATTCACAAGACATTTTCAATTACAAGTCATGCCTAAAGTGGTGGCAGCCCTATCAAGACTACGAAGGGAGCCAGGACAAGCCAATAGACATCTAAGGATAATATGGCAAGAAAAAAATGGAAGGAACCCGGGTCCTTGATGATCATTGAGCTGCCTAGAACAGCCCTACTTACAAATTTCCTGTTATGCCATAAATATTTATTGTTTGTTGTTGTTGTTGTTATGTGCTGTCGAGTCGGACCCGACTCATAGCGACCCCTCTTTGGGTTGCCGAGGCAGTATCACTATGGAAGTAGATTGCCCAAACTTCCTTCCGAGGAGTGGCTGGTGGATTTGAACCGCCAGCCTTCTGGTTAGCAGTCAAGTGCCTTAGGCACTATACTACCAGAGCTCCTATTTATTGTTTAGGATATTTTTTAGTTGAGAGCATCTTAACTGATTAACATTCTACCAACTGTGCATATTTGTAATTTAAAAGTCATCTGTAACTAACCCTCACTTTCCTTCTTCTACTATCTCTAAAGCTACTAGAGCTTTCTGGCAACAATATGCCTCTTTATCTTTCTAATGAAGCAATCACAACTGTCCACTACTTTATCAGTCCACCAATATCTTTATTATGGTATAGCTGTTTTTTCAGGTGCCACAAATCTGCCTGTACTATAGTTGTTGTTGTTGTTGTTATGTGCCGTCGAGTCAAACCTGACTCATAGCGACCCCCTCCTTGGGTTTCCGAGGCAGTATCACTACGGAAGTAGGATTGCCCAACCTTCCTTCCGAGGAGTGGCTGGTGGGTTTGAACCGCCAGCCGTCTGGTTAGCAGGCAAGTGTCTTAGCCACTATGCTACCAGAGCTCCCAGTACTATATTAAAACCTGTGAAAACTGAACCTGTGTAATGTGGAAACCTGTCAGAGAAAGAAAACTCAAATATTTCCCACCAAAAGCGAGCAATAGAAAAGTGTTAAGACTGTACCATTCAAAGGTGGAAAACTTGTGAGA